GCCAGACAGAGAGTCATGGACGAGCCCCTGCAACGCCCGTACATTTGGACGACTCAAGCTAGGTGCAACACTGACCGGCTCACCTGGCTTATTGCACTGCAGATAGGGCCCCGACTCCGTGGACTGCGCCATAGCGACGGTGCGGCCGGGTGCCAGGATACTCTGCAGTGAATGTTCCGACTCTGGGCAAATTACGGACGTAACCGCTGCAAGCTGACTGCTGCTGGCCAGATTCGTCCAGTGAACTGACATGCAATGCGCGAAAGATCCAAATCTAGCTGCATCGACTACAACCGGATCACCTAATGCAGAAACTAAGCGATTCTGAGCTGCCAAAGCGTTCAACCAGGTTGCTTGAGGCTTCTCGCAAACAAACATAAAAGCTGATGTGCGACGCTGAATGCGCTGCAAAATATGCAAGATATTTAAGACGTGATCAGTGACGCAGACGCCAGATGCTAAAGAACCAGGCTCCTTGCCGACGTCGTGCCAGCACCAACTGGCGAAAATAAACCACTGCGAACCATCACAAGCTCCTGCTGCAAGAAGAGCTCGCTCGTCCACCTTCTTAGGATCCAGTGGGAGATCCAACCATACACGCCGGTAAGCCTCGGGAGAAAACTGTCTGGGATATTCTGCGCTGAGACAATCCAGTCGCGCGGAAATTACCTTGGCTGCCTCTGAGTCAGGCTCCGAAGAGAGATACCTGTCTACACGATATCCGTTGCGGAGGCAAGCCTCTAGACCTGCACACATCCCACCTATGGGTTCGTAAACTGTTACCCCCGACCCCAGAGCACGAGAGAAGAAAGCTCGGGCAAAAGGGTTAGTGTGGTTAGAAGGGAATAGGTGAGGTGAAATTCGGGCTGCTTCCTTGACCCAGCGAACAGCTTTAGCATGCAACTGTTCCCCTTCCTTCGAGTCCATATCAGGCTCGTCATCCGGAGGCACATGCAGTGAATCGCAAGGCAAACCCAAACTACCGGCTAATAAAGAGTCAGGCAGTGGACAAAAGTCATCAGAAAATCCAGCGACGGGAGTGAATGAAGCAAGTGCTGTACGCAAATTGACGCCCTCAACCCAAGACTGTGCAGTGAGTGCTGAGGTACGGCGTGTTTCACACAAGTCCTGATCCATGCGAGCCCCTGTGTTGTCAACGGATGACGGGACTGGTTGCCTAGAGAGCAGGTCAGCATTTTGGTGCTTAAGACCCGGGCGATGCACAACCTCAAAGTCGTATTCCTGCATGATGAGTGCAAACCGTGCATACTGCCCCGTGAGCCCATCTGCACTCATGAGGTACGTTAGGGGTTGATGGTCAGTGACAAGAGTGAACTTGGGCCCACCAAGGAGGTGATGTCGGAACATTTTGACAGCCCAAACAGCAGCAAGCATCTCCCCTTTGTAGCTGCTATAATTTTTTTCATGCTTATTAAGGGAACGACTAATGCACGCGCAGATGTACTCGTTACCCTGATCGTCCAGCTGGCCTAAAACAGCACCAATCCCATGGTTAGAGAAATCGGTGTGCAGGATCAGCGGGCGGGTATAGTCTACACGGCGCAAAATAAGACCTTCCCTAGAAAAGACAGACTTGATGCTCGTGAAGGCCGCTTCCTGCTCAGGGCCCCAAACCCAGGGTTGATCTTTCTTCAACAAAAGGGTGAGGTTGGCAGTTAGCGAGCTCATGTTAGGTATGTAACAACGATAATAATTGACAAAACCTAGATACGAGCGGAGTTTGGACACGTTGCGAGGGGGTTTTAGGGCCATGATCGCAGCTATCTTTGCATGGTGTGGACTGATGCCTTCGGCGCTTAAGTTGTG